GCTGTCATTGACACTGCCTCTGTGAACCAGTTTTTCTCCCTGCTGTACAGCACATTTATAATTTCTTATTACTCTTTCCAGAACAGCTTTACCAGGCTTTCCACCATGACAAGTGTTCTTAGTTTAAGTTACAATAAAGACAAAACCTCCTTGTCTTTTATAAGCAATTTAATGTGATTTGTTCTGTTTAAAAAAAGTGGTTTGTCCCTCTCAGATTATGATAAGAAGAGCCAAAATGCCTCAAAATGAGTATTTTAATGGGTTACAAAAAAAAATCAGAGGTTGCTATTAACATAAAAAGCCTTTATATATATTAAGAAAAAAAAGAACATCAAAATTTACCTTTAGGTGGTAGCCTGTGTTAAAAATGTGAGGCAGGTCTGTTGGTTTTTAGTAAAGGAAACCTATACATTTCAAATCTCAGGTCTTTTATATTGTCACCTTATTATTTAGAATTTTGGATGCTGAACTAATATTTTAATATGCTAATATAGCAAAATTCACTAGGGAACACTTAAAAAAATAAATAAAAAGAGATAGTAACGTGAAACCAGCTGTCAAAAGCATCTTTGTTTTGGAAAGTTGGTTCACAGGTAGTTTCAATGAGAACTTGAACTCAGAACAAAGCACTGAAGACACAGTAAAGAGTTCAACCCAGTGCAGCATAGTTCTTTTCAAGTATTATATTGTTTTAATGGCATCTTGGAGTGGGAGCTTTAGCCCATTGAAATGTCGCTTAAAGGACAGGTTCTTCTGTCACTAGCTGGAGCTGTGTGGATGAAATGATCACAATAGAGTGTTGTAATGCATTTTAAAAGTGTGAGAAATCAGTTTGTCTAGACTAAGAGTGCGCCTACAGGGAATAGGAATTTTAGAGCTTCTGTGCTCTTTAGGTGTCAAGTATGTGATAGATGCCAAGCCTTTTTATTCCATATCTTTGGCAACAGCTCAGCTATGCTACAGTACCTTACATGTCTACAACAAGCAAAACCAGTGATTTTATGTCAGGACAACTTGGGCTTCAGAAACCAGAAACTCATTGTCCTAACAACTGTCTGTTCAATTGCCAGCTTTAAAATGGGGAAGGTATCAATAAACAATTGCTAGATTCCCATAAGGCATGGAAACTTTAGCTATAATGATTCAAAGTATGAAGAGCTAGCAACACCATGTAGATATTTGGTTTCAGAAAGCAGGCAGGTTTTAATTTTCACCTTGAAAAGATTTTTATGGAATGAATCCTATATTATTAGTGAAATAACTTTGATTTTGAGCCAGCTGAGTGCCCACAAAAACATGGCTCGAAGAGACTTACAGTTTGTCTGGGAGTTTGGTTTTATTTTCATCCAGATGAACAAATCTAGGCATTTCTTTACTATGGTTACCTCATAAATATAACACTTGCTCATTTTTAATACTCCTTTTAGATTGTGCTCTGTATGCACTAATGTCTAATACTTTTATAGTTCTCTGGTATGGAAGTTTCAGAAAAGGAAGTTGTTTGTGTCCATAATGTTATTTAACAGATCTTATTTTAATAATTCCAGATAATTCTGGAACAATCCAAAAACCTCTAAATCCGAAGCATAGAATTCATAGTGGACATTTGAGTTGCTAATAATAGTAAAATAAAAAAAAATAATCATTTTGAGCACTTTTGAAGGTAGTTGATGGTAACAAACACAGAATTTTTGCATGTAGCAGATTATTTCAGAGGGGAAAAATAGTATTTTTGTGAATATTCTTATATTTTCAATTGCTTTAAATTTGCTCCCCTGTGTGGTTTTGAGGGACTGATCTTTCGAAATTTATTTTCTGAAGTAAAATGAAAAATGAGACTTGCCTCATCTCAAAGGATGATCTGGTGACAGCACCAAGAGCTCTTAAGTTTGCCCCAAAACAAAATCTCATAAAGACAATAGCTACAGACATGTAAAGCCACAGTGTTTTATTTAAACTTGTTTGCCTTTTAATTCAAGTCACAGTGGTACTGGCAAGATGAGTTCCGTATGCCGAAGGCTTTGCTGCACTTTTTTTGGCTTTTACCAGTTTACTGTTTGTTCCTGGAGAGGAGGGGAGGGCAAGGAGGGAGACCAAGGATCTCCCACTGGCCTTTTAAGTATGTAAGGAACAGGAGTAGTTTAGCATCCTTAGAGATGGATTTGATGTTTGATTTCACTCTTTACTCTACTAGGGTGAACTGACAGGTTAATTTTGTGTAATTACTGTTTAGTTTTTAGCAAGAAAGTTCACTTTGATTATATCAGATGCTGCTGAGGGTAATTTTTCACAGTAATTCTTTTGAGGTTTTCCCCCATCTTATTCTCTGTTAAAGTCAGTATTTTTAGGCTGTTTCCTTGATCGCTCATTTTTTATATTTGTCAGGTTTATTTGTGGAAGGCTCACAAACCAAGCCTTAGTAGAGGAGGGCACCCTACTACTGACTGTATACAATGTTACAAGCTTTTTTTTTTCTTTGAAGGTTGGAATCTCGTGAATCCTTTTGTCTTTCACAAAAACACTGAAGAATGTTACCAGTATCAAATGTTCCTCTCTTGATCTTGAGCATCCACAGAAGAGTTGACTCTCAAAAGCTGATATTCATAGCTTTGAACATGACAAGGGAGTGAATTTATGTAATAACTAATGGTTAGAAAAGTAAGAGAGCTGAATTCTAGTATCTGCTCTGCAGTCTCTAACAATCAATAGATTATTGTGCGAAAGATAACCTTCTGCCTCTTTCTTCATGCCAAGCATAGCTTCTTGAGTCAGTGTGGATGTTGGTGCCTCTTAATTATAGACTTAAGTGCAAATGAAAGCACTTACACAGCACATAGTTGGCTGGCTAGGATTTCGGTGAATAGTCTTGTTCATATGAAGTTTAGCTTCCTAATGGTACTATAAAATTTTGGTGCTTGACAATGTTTCAGTCTCTGCTCTCGTATTTTCTTTAAAGGGAGAAAGAAAAGTTTATGCATTTCTGCATTTGCTTTAGCTGATGCCAGTTAGTGCAGCCCTGACCTTGCTGCTGTGGTCAGAGGAGGGGAGGGAATGTCCTGTCCCTCCTCTGGCACCAGCAGTTGTGTAGCTGGGAGATGAGCAGGTTAAGGTAACTGATCTATGCAAAATCTAATTCAGCCAGGGAAAGCAGGATGATAGCAGCTCCAACATGTATCAGCTTCAGTTGTGTACAGCTGGACCCATAACATACTTTTCTGCAATTTTTTTGCTATTTTGTAACTTAAAAAATAAAAATGGAGCATGAAATTATGTAAAATGCACAAGTGGTATTATTTTACAAGCCTTTTATGCGAACCCTTTTTTAACATGTTCCATTGTGTTTTTCATAGGATATCACTGCTTTAACTGGTGTTCCAGATGAGCACATCAAAACCAGAAAAGTTCACATTTTTGTTCCAGCACGTAATGCAATGCAGGCAGGAGTTAACAATACAAAGAAATGGAAGATGGAATTTGATAACAGGGAGCGCTGGGAGAACCCTTTAATGGGCTGGGCATCTACGTGAGTAGTTACTGAATTTCAAAATACTTTTTTCTGTATTTGGCTCTTACTAGTCATGTAAATTTTGTTTGATGTGTCCTTTCTACTTGTAAATCTGCTTGTGTTTTAACAGTACTTACAGTAAGTGGTTGGGTTTTTTAGTCATATGACTGATGTCCTGTTATATTTAAAAGCAAATTTTAGCTCACAGCATCATCTGGAAGTGTTTGAAAAAAGTGTTAACAACCAGAAATTTCAACATTTACGTTTCTGATGATGTTACTGTATGGCAGCATCAGGGAAAGAAGGGTATTAGATACCTGAAACAGTAACACCTTTTAAATTTGGTTAAACATGAAATAGCAATACCTAGCTTCAGGATTTTTTTTTTTACAAAGTTTTATAAATATCCCGAAGAACTGAAATGTGGAGGCAATTAAAAAAAAAAACAAAGCAAAACAAACAAAACTATTTAACATATTACACTGTTTGTTTCAATGTTGCCAATATTAGTAGTAAAAGCTCTTAAATACACCTGAATATAGAAAAGTACTAATCTTAGCTAAATATGCTATAATTTGGAGATGTAAGTATAATGTGAGTGCAGCTAATTTTTAATTCTTTTTTCCCAATGTAAATATACTATCTACGTTTTACAGCATGGTTAGAATTCCTGTAAACTATGAGGGTTGTGCCAACAATTCTCCTGACAGTGTTATAATTTTGACTTGAAGCTGACTTCTTTGAAGCATATTCAGAAAAGTTAATTATTCTACCTAAGCAAAAGTCAACCACTAGAGATTATTTTTCAAACTTCAAAAAGGACACAATGTGTATTGAAAATGTCTGGCTGCAATCATATTAGGACTTATGATCAAAGAACACAAAATTCTATGAAAAAAAACTTCTGACCTTGAATATGAAACAATTTGAGGACACATTTTTTGGGATTTGTTAACATTCTAAATGCGGTCATAGAATGCTTTTTTCCCTCTTTCTTTTCTTTATTTACAAAATACATGTATCCAGAAATATTGGTGCAAAATAACTCTGAAATCAAGTCTTCTTATTACGCTGCTTTCCTATAAAAAAATTGAGGCTTACAACCTGTAACATCTCAGTTATACTGGTATTGCACAGCATTACGGAAGCAAAGCTCAACTATCGCTAGATGAGAAAAAATACTGAATATGAATTAAAATATTAAGTGTGTTAAAATACCTGGTTTTAAACTTTAATCCTGTATATAAAATTTACTTCATTTTAAGCATATCCTGAGGTTTTTCACCTTAAGCATTCAATTTAAGCATATTTAAAATGCTGTTTCAGAGGATAAGATTTCAACTATTTAATACACATATGCCTTGAGTGACTCAGCTACTGCTAGTAGCTACTACATCTAGCAAGTAATGACCAGGTTGTTTCACAGGGCCTAAACTAATTAAGTGATAGATTGTTCACCAGCTGTACAACTTTCCCTTCTGTCTTGTGTGCCCCTCAAGTGTCTAGCCACTGAAGTATGGTCTATTTATACTACTGTACAGTTCATAACACTGTAGCAGGTGCTAGTAACACCTGCTTTAGTTTGGGTTGAATTTATCTTTTCTTATAATCCTCCTTTGCTTTTCAGCTGACTTTATCTTTCTCAGACAAGTTAGTTTCTGGGTGGGATTTTGCATGATCTCAGCCAAAACAATGGCTTTTAACCATTCTAGCAGTTATAACCATTTATGCTAAATAAACCACATACAAAAATGAGCCATGGTATTAAGGGCTTACCTGTATGTTAAATTGTCCTGGAGTGCGTTTATTGTGGAAATTTAAAAAGGAATGGCTGTTGTGAATGAATTCATCTCAGCATGTGTTTTCATTCTTGGGTAGGGAAGGGAGCATCTCCTATGTAAGCAAGCTCAAGGTAGGCCAAAAGCAAGTACTGTGTTAAGAATGGACACAACTAGGTTAAGAGTTTTGTAAACTAGTTTGTATCTGTTCATTTTTAAAGAAATTCTCACAAAACCTATTAGTGGACCTTCTGGTAATTTCAAATTACTGTTCAACACTGTTCAGGAAGTGTTTCTTCTATTCAGATTTAATTTGTGGAAAGAACAGTTCTTAGGAGTTTTCCTATTTACTGTGGATTAGAGCCCTTTAGGATCTAGGGATTAGAGCTGTTTTCCTCTGAACTCAATATACTTATTTACCTTACAGGTTGTTGCTATATTTCTGTTGTTTTACAGTCTTGTTTGCTTTTTTTGTTTCCTTTGTTGTTTCTTTGGTAATATTTTTTTCAGTTAAAATTATGCAGTTGTAGATCTAAATAAAATGCACCTATGGTATTTTTTTTAATTGGGAGGTTTCATCACAGGACTGCCTATGGATAGTTCTTGAATACTTCTTTTAATTTAAAGTTGTAAACAAACAAACATGAGAAATGCATGGTTTCCATTGTACAGGATCTCATAAGAGAATAAAACATGGAATTCTAGTTTGTAGGGACTGTTAAGACAGTTCGGGGCAGGCTTCAGAAATCCTGCAGCACCGCTATTGCTGACAACATCAGGACATCATGCTGGCCGTCCCAAACTCATTTGCTCGCAGGTTATCACGAACTCGAACACATAGGTAGCTCATTTATGGAAAGAAATCAAAAGCTTGAGTGAAAGATGATCTCACATGAAAACAGAATAAATAATTTCTGCACAATCCTCATTTCCAAACTGCCTCCATCCTGGAAAGTTTTCATCATAGTTGCAGTACTGAACAGGCACTGGTCCTTCACTACTCTTCAGACTTAAACTTCTGTGTTCTTACTTAGTAGTATTGAGAAGATTTTTCCAACCCCAATCATGGAAGAGAATAGCAATAAGCAAAAGTTGTCACAATATTGCGATATATTTGGGTCACTTGATTCTCTACTGATCACATCATGGACTGATTCTTGGTTCCAAATTCTCCTTACTGCCTTTATAAGAGAAATCTTTAAAGTCACCCATCTTAGTGGCTTGTGAAAATGTACTTTCTGCCGTTTTCCTGTTGGGTTTTTGTTTTGTTTTGTTTTTTACTGGGGAATATATTGGTTATATAGAGAACTCCATTTTTCCATGTGTACATCAGATAAAATTACGTTGTTGTCTTTGCTGGAAGCTAGATTCCCCCTCTTCCCCTCCTCCTCTGCCAGTCACAGGCTTTGTCCTTTATTGTTGACAGTCCAATGTATCTTTGGTTTCTTTTTCTCTTCATTTACCCTTCTAGCTTCAAAGAGAGAACAGTTGAGAGGCAGCTTCTTCAATAGTTTGTTGCAATTTGGTCTTATCTTCCTGACTGTCTCCCAGGTTTGAGTGCAGTGTTGTCTCAGAGAAGAATTACCTAATCATTGTGCTGCTACAACCAGTATCTTCCTTCTCTAAAAGTTTTCTAGATTAATTTTCAGAACCCTTAGGTTTTTTTCATACTTTGTCATTTTTCTTAAATTCAACTTTTATAGCAACAAATAAGGCAGTTTGGTTTTCTAACTGATATTTTAATTTGTTTCAAAAAGCTTTTTGCTATTTGATTCGCTTCAGAAATGCAGTTGAGGAATAGCAGATCATCTAAAACTAACCTCTGTGTATTTAGATAGCTGGCAGTTTGCATTTCTGAGCATTATTTTCAGTGGCAGCTTGGGATCTGCTTGCTGTACTGGTGTAATTTGCAGAGGTTATATGACCTCAGCCAAAGCTGAACTTTTTGGTTTGTTTTTTTGGTTGTTTGTTTTTTTTTTAAAACATACATTTCACACTCTGATTAATTCCTTCTCTGCTCACATTCATATTCTGTTCTTTTCTGTATAAGATTATTCTTCCCCTGGCTGCTCTACAGATTCCTGGTCTCCTGGAAATGTGATCTTCCAAAAAGAGGGACTACAAAGCTTTAAAAATTAAAGAGATTGTTGCAGAGCAGTTATAACTTCGGCAGGTGATTAAACATGTTTGTCTAATAAAAAACTTAAAACGTTAATTTCTGCCAGGAGATGAGAGGGAAATTTGACAGACTGAAAGAGTGAAACAATACTCTGCAGAAAGTGTTAATCCTGGAATCCTGAAAAATAAAGGGATTTTAAATTACTTATGCAGTGATGTACTACAAAAAGTTGTGTAATACAGCATTTGACTAGCATTTGAAATACAGGTATAATTATTTTATATTTCAAATGTGCTTAATATTTGTCATTTGATGTCTTACAGAGCTGATCCTTTATCCAACATGGTTCTTACTTTTTCTACTAAAGAAGATGCCATGGCCTTTGCTGAAAAAAATGGTACGTATTGTACATACTGGGTATGAGGGATTCAGCTTTCTATGAGCAATCTTGATCTCAAAGTATTAATAGCAGCAGAAATGCAGGATTAATTGCCTTCCCTCTGTTCCACAAAATTGGTAACCATTAGTGCTCTACTTGAAGAGGAGGCAAATAGCGGGGGGATATTTCTGAGGGCACTGAAGACATTGAATCTAGGCCTTCCACTTTCTGGAAAAGTGTTCCGGCCTCTTAGCATTACTACTGCAATGCTTTTGCAAGTATCTGTGTTTTGAATGAGAACTGAGCCTTCTTCATATCTTGGAGGAAAATTAATATTAATAGTTCAACTGTATCCCAGACTGGGGGTCCTAGCTACATGGCAGTGGGATTTTTGGGTGAAGACTTGACTTGAGCGTCTGAATTCTAGTTAATAAAAGACTGTCAGAACCCTTGCGAATGTTTGATAATCAGAAAACTAAAATTAAGAGACTACCAATGTTGGACCTTTAGTTCTGGCCACATTGCAGAATGGATTTATCATAGAATATCTCAGGCTGGAAGGGACCCATAAAGATAATAAAATCCAACTCCCTGCTCCTCACAGGACTACCTAAAACTAAACCATATGACCAAGAGCATCGCCCAGACGCTCCTTGAGCTCTGACGGGCTTGGTGCCATGACCACTCCCTGGGGAGCCCCGTTCCAGTGCCTGACCACCCTCTCATGAGGAACCTTTTCCATGTGTCCAACCTAAATTTCCCCTGATGCAGCTTCATTCCATTTCCTCGTGTCCTATCTCTGGTCAGCAGAAAGAGATCAGCACCTCCCCTTCTGCTGTGCCTTTGAGGAAGTTGTAAACTAAGGACATTATACCTAACTCTTCCCAAGTACAATACTAAAGTCTAAACATTTGCACTTGATAATTGTTCATATTTGAGAAAAGGATGGTAGAAAACCCAGTATCATTACTTAATATTTTTAAGACTAATGCTATCGTTGTCCATAATCTCAGTCTTCCTAATATTCTTGATATGAATTTTTCACTGCATTTTTTTGTTGCTTGTTTGGATTTTTTAATCAATTTCATTTTCGTCAAAGAGCTAGGCTTGATGCTTAGTGCTCATGGATGTGAGGAAAGTTAATTGCACTGAGTTAAAGCCAGTTAATGCACATGGGGTGTAAGCTTCTTGAGAAGTCTTCCCTGTGGTCTACAGCTTTCAAGTATATTTAGTCTGGAGCAAAGAGATAATAAGTTTCTTGGTCAAACCACTTTGTGCAGAGTTGTTTGATGGCTTAGGTTGCACACTGAAAAAAACAGGGTAAGTCCATTAACTTAAACAATTAAGAAGCTAAACCATTTAATGTGCTGTTTATTTGCACTTTTTAATGGTAAGGGCCAGTATTTAATTCCTCTGTTCCTCTTTGAATGGATTTTTTTAACATAATAGTCTTAATTTTATTGAAAAATAAATTGTATTCACTAAGAAATTAATAGGATCATCATGTTTGCATTAGAGATACCAATTATTGTGCAATTTTAATAGTATTTTGTAATGCTTTATGAACAAATAAGACATTTAGGAGAATCTGGTGTTGCTTTATTTATGCTTCTGTATTGTTCATGCTGTTTCTGTTCGTTGGCAAATTCAGCCTACAAAAGAAATAAAACGCTATATTAATGAGCTACTTATGTCATCTCTTTGGACATGTTATGTTTTGTCCTTTCGAAATGCAGGTTCAAGTAAAGTACTTGATTTGTTCAGTGTAGAAAATTTATGCCTTTGCTGGATTAGTAATGAATCTCCATTGTGTGGGAAAACTACAAAGAAAATTTTACTGACTAAACTAAGGCTGTGACTTAGCATTAATATTATTAGTTCAGTATTCACTTAACTTCACCCTTAATTTTACCATAGTTGAAATGTACCAGACTTCTCTGCAGATACTGGCTTGTCTAAATTACTATTCAATTTTTATTCAAGGTGACTTAGGTGGTTTATGCATATGATATATGCATAGTATTTTCTGTAGTAAAAACTTCAATATCAGATGTAGCTGGAAATAGAAATTTCACAATATTTAGTTCAGCTTTTAGAAAGAAATTAGAAACTTAGTCACTCATCTACAATGAAACTTAGCTTCCAAACTGAGGTGTTACTGAAACATGTCTGAGTCTAGGAACACAAATAATTACTTCTTTGTCCTTCCTGTATGAACCACCCAGGTTTTCCATTACAGAATTCCTTAAGAACTTCAAGTTTAATTTCTGCAAATCCTAGATATTGCAGGTGTTTCGATATGATTGGGAAATGTAATAGTTCTTTCTGACATAAGAACTTCAGGAACCCGAGGCAAGCTTTCTGCCTGCCCCATCTGATGTGTTTCATAATGTAGGAATAACAGCACTGAACACAGTAATAGGAGAGATCTCTGTCCAAACTATGACAGCTGAGGATGGCTTGAAGTTGGGGCAAGGAGGAAGCACTTGTAACTAGCTGAAATTAAGTTTAGTCTGTCGACCTGAATTGTTCTTTGTCTTGTCCAACATCACCAAGGCAGTTGTTTAAAAACATACAGCTTTATTAACGAGGATGCAGACTTTTTCTACTGAGCAATAACTTCTAGTCAGGTGATGAGGGTGTTTTTCCAGAGATTATGAGATCTGCTTTCAGTCCACTTGGCTTCTATGGCAGGTTTCTGGGCAAGAATAACGTCCCCCACCATTGTGGTATTTGTATAAAAGTGACTTCTGCTCTCTGTCATGAAGAACTGAAGGTACCTAACTCAAGGAGACTGTTCCAGAGTGTGAAACCTTATCACATAATGGTGGCCTTCTGCAATCCAAAGTTAGATATAACTAACTAAGTAGATTTTGGGTAGCTATGGCAGCACAAGTCATTGTGCTGGCAGTTGCAAATCTCTTTTGGAGGCACTTGGCGCCTCTCTATCTAGTGTATAAAAAGATGAAGCAATAACTTGGGGCTCTGGATGCCATTCCAGCAGCCAAGTGCCTCAGAGTTAGGTGTTATAATGCTGAATGTTGCAATACTGAAGTCTGTCTCAGGATCTAGTTCTGGCTGTTTACTTAAGCTTATATTTTTCATCAGAACAGGAGGTGAAAACCAGTGCTCTCTCACAGATGGAAGGAATATGTTTTTAAAGCCTCTGTTCTAGTATTTCTCACAAAGAATAGTTAACTTGGAAGTTAACATTGGTTCAGCCTAATAAATGTGAGGAAAATGTTTATTTGACATTTGTGAATACACAAAATTGAGGCACAGTAACAGGACAACTTGTGTATCTCACAAAACATGTTTTGATGGGTAGATGTATCTTGAGTGTTTCCTGTGAAGATCTTAAATATAAAAATACAGATACATGTTAAACCTTTAAGAATTTACCAAGTTTTTGTTTTAAAACTAAGGAAGAAAAGTGTGATCTTACTAGTATAAGTTAAAACTGTATACTTAACCACTTCTACCTTCAGCTTAAGTATCTCAACTTTGAGTGAAATGTTGCACCTAAGGAGACCAAACTTTGGAATACTGAGTGCTGCCCTGGCAACTTTCCAGGCACCTGGAGGCTGCAACCAATTTGCATTTTGATTTACATAAACACTAATGTCTCCACCTCCTCTTTTCTGACATTTTTTAGCATTTCTCTTGCTTAACTATCACATAATTTACTTGTCTGCTATCACTTCATTCCCTTTTCTTTTACTCCAATTTTTTTATGTTCTTAAAATGTTAAGTATTGAACTCCTTTCTAATGCTGAAGTTTTTTCTTTGGCCTTCCTTTCTTTCATCCTCTCACCTTTCTTTTTCCTTTAGCTTTGCAAGGTCTCCATTCTCTCCCAGTCTTTTGGATTCATCTTCTGTATGCTATATTTTCCCATGTTTCCTTATATTTATTTTAATTTCCCATCCCAGCATCTGCAGAGCCTTTGTGTTCCTGTGATGCCATGGACTTATGGAGCCACAGACTTGCAGGACAGTGTTCTCTGTTGAGCTTGCACTGATGACTGCTAAGTTTTTTGCAGGAGTAAAGAAAATGGAGACACATAGTATGGTAAAGTCTCAGGAACTGAGAGAACAGGCATATGTTACATCTATAGCATTTCAGTATTCTCTGCTGCCAACTAAAAAGGAATAAACTAGTGGATGGCTATGTGGATAAAAAGATACTGAAGTCAAAATGTTCAAGTAGCATTTACTCTATTGTATGCTGAGAATATGTATAATTCTCTTTGTTTCTTGTCTCTGCACACCATTTCCCCTGTAACCTCCAGGCTGGAGCTATGATGTTGAAGAGAAGAAGATTCCAAAACCTAAATCCAAGTCCTATGGTGCAAACTTTTCTTGGAACAAAAGAACAAGGGTGTCTACAAAATAGGTTGGCATTGGCTGTCTGGCTGTGAATAAAGTCAGCTGTGCTGTATTTATAGTCCATGTATAATACATCTCTTAATCTCCTAATAAATTTGACCTTTAAACTACAGATGCATCTTGTGATGTCTATTTAAAATGTTTTTGATGTCTCCACTTGAACCTGTTACAAACTTCCCTATAAATAGAGGAGATTTGGAGTGTTCATACTTCTACAAAATTGCTGTACTAGGAATCTATCAAAAGGAATGTTTGAAATCAGCTGCAACTTTAAAGATTATGGTTTATCTTTGATGGTAATTTTATATTCACTCTTGTTTAAACTTATCAGCCTTGCATATACAAGTGCTCTCAATAGAAGTAAGGGTTTTTTCTTTCTGGACAAGTTCGTTTGTGCAAATCAGTTGCAGAGCAAAGTATGATATGTAAAACTTAATATTTGAGTATAACTTAGTCTGTTCTTTATAAATGTATATTATATAACCTCCTTTCTGCCCAAAATAATATTGTCGTTATTCCAAAAGCATTTATGACTGGAGTAAAGCAGTGTTTTTTGTGTTGGATATGGGGGAGGTCTAGTCCGAAAGATGAGATTGCAGTTGTTTCTCTATGATGTTCTTAAAAGTGAAACTAAGCCAGTTAAGTATTCACAAATTAAGACAGAAGAGTGCCGGCTGCCTCACACAGCATCAGCATATACTGATTATATAATTACAGTTCTCTTTTTTATTGCTAGTTACATGTTTATCTGCATTGAGGTTTCCTGGTGCCTAACAAGAGATGTGGTGATAGCATCTCAGCCTTAACATCAAATATATAGCCTAAACTCAGTTTGTCTTGCATGACATTAAAACATTAATTTTAACAATGCACATTATTATGTTTGAAATTCTTGATTACATATCTATGGCTTTTGATTTATTCAGTTTTTCTTTTAACTTTTACATAACAAATTGACATATCAACTCATGGTCAGTGAAACCTATTAAAATTGGGAGAGGGTACACCTTTTTCTTATGCAACTGAGAGTTTTATACCAACTGTCACAAAAGAAACAGTTGAGACTGCTCTTTCCACATAAATCTAAAGAGTGGTATAGGTGCTATGCACTGAATTCTAGCTAAAAGAAGACATAAAACTACCTTGTGTTGCCCAGATTTGATTATGTCCTTGTTTCAGTTTTAACAAGCTGCCCTGTATGTTGGCTAACATTTGTTTAAAGCCAGTTTGTTGACCCAGTTTCAGTGTAATCAGCCAGTTGGCTGATGTCGCTATTTTCCTATCACAGACAAGAACAACTAAGATCACATTCTAATTCATCTTCCAATTGAATTTTGAATGCTGCATTGTGCAGTGGAGCTTAAAGTCCTTAAGAAGTTCCAAAGTGCACCAAACTATAATCTTAACAGTCCAGAATTTGCTGCACCTCTTTGTATCCTGGCTAAGTGTTATATGGTGATCTTACTAAGGAGACAGTAATAAGAAAAGCTAATTTATTTTTCTTCTGTCTTTTACAAGTAAACAGCAGCAAGATCTTAATTTAATGGTCTTCAATCTTTATAAGACTGTCAGCATTAACACTGGAAAGTGCTTTGGACATCTAATGTAGTAGATGCACAGCTTGGTTTTTGAAATTATGTAATCCAGGGAAGCAACTGATGAATACCTAACATTACCTTTGGACAACTAATATACAAAACTGCTGTATGTTAATCGATACTTCTTGTAACTAGAATCAGTTTCACATAGAGCACAGTTGGTTTTTTTTGTTTCTTCTGCTAAGATAATGGAAATAAAGGTGAATTTGTTAAGTCCCTTTCCATTCCCAGGGAAGAAAGCTGCTTTTAAAATTATTTTTTAAATATATATGTTCATTATGATTCTCTGCACCCTACCTTGAAGTCTTTAAGTCATGTTTGAGCCCAGACCTTCTTTTCCTCCAATTACTTTCCTAGGACTTGGATTTTTTTTCTCCTGTTGGATGGCTTCTTAAGAACGAGCATGCTGACATTGGAAGAGAGTTGATTATCATCACTGTAGTCTTCAAACCTAAGGAGTAAAACTCAGTGCAAGAGCTTGCAGAGGACCAGTGCCAACAGGAATGTAATTTAGACATCAAAAAACCTACTAGATACTATATTTCATTACCCTTTTGTTAACTTACTAGAGTATTACAGCACTAGGTTGGGTAATTGTCCAGGATGATCTGACCATCTTTAGTTAAGTACCTTCAGAAGAGAATGTATAATTGATAAACTCCAGATTCTTTCTACTCTGCAGTGTGTGTTGATGGGTAAAATTGCTCCTAAATCTAGACTATATCAAAACAAAAGGCACAACAGGTGAACTGCTGTAATTACATTTTTAGTATCCGTTGATCTAAACATGGAAATCTAAAGAGATTCTGAGGACTGAAGGCTAATGCAAATGCTGAATGACATTAGAGATTTATCTTGGTGGTCAGTGTAGCTGTGCTGCATCCAACTAATCCAGGGTTTTCGTGGCAGTAATATTTCAAACCTCTGGAAGTGTCAAAATCATTAATGGGGAAAGAAAAAGTTTAAAGCTCTCAAACAAACAGAACATACTCTTTACCCTGTGGGTTTTGTATGTCATACTACCTTACATGGAAACCAAGAAGTATTAAAGACTTGCAAGACAGTTGCATGCCAGCATTGCAGAGGGGTGTTACATAGGTATTACATTTACATTCTTTCATTTGGCTGTGTAGATTCGAGAGGTTTTCTTTGCAGTTTTGTAGCTTCTGTTATTGTGGAAAGTCTTAGGCAAAAAATTAACATGCTGATCTGAAGTAGTTTACACTTGGACTTGTGTAGATGTGTGAAGTTCTGGTGGCAGAACTCTGCTACTGGACAAAGTGCTTTCCTAGTTCTAGCAAATTAGTCCATAGTATCACGAGTTCTGTGAAAAAGACCTATTTTCTGTCATTGCTGTCTCAGCCAGCTACATGTTACAACAAGATTTGGATTATTCCTGTCAAGTCTGGGTGAAAGTGCTTTCTTTTAAGAAAGAAGCAACATTGTAATCTTTTTGCTCCCATATGCTACTACTGTTACTTCCAGCTCTACAAGGTATGTGGCACGTACCAAAAAAGTCTCTTGACCGCATGAAGATTTTCATACATGAGTTATGAAAAGTTGGCCACTCCCAGTACTATGATTCTGGTTTAAAACCAGGAATGTTTTGGTGAAATTTTAACTACTAATGAACCTTTTTTTTTTTTTTTTTCATTTTAGGCTACATTTGCATTTTCCCCTTCCTGCCTCTTTTTTCTGCAAGTTCCTTGCAGTGAAATCTGTTCTGTTAAATATATGCCTGTTTACATCAATTCAGTGATGAGCCACAGAAAAACAAAATCCAAACCAACCTTGTTTAGCATTCTTCTGAATGCTCAGAATGGTCCTCATCTTTTATGTTTTATGGCATTTCTTTTACCTAAACAAAATTGAAATACTGGAAGTAAATGCTCCCTGTTCTGTTGCTGACTAAAGAAAACAATATCTACTTTGCAGTTAGGACTCCATACAAAATGTGGGTGCAAATACTTCCAATATATTTTGCATGGTTCTGTTGTGATAAAATGATATTTGCAGGATACCGAGTTATTTTGAAGATTGCTAGCATTTTTAATTCCAGTGAACAATTTTTTTTATTATAACAAAGGCCCTGCAACTCTTGAAATGATGATGTTGTAATGGAACATAAGGACTGTCAGGGAACTGAAAGCACAGTCTCACATTTCTAGCAATGTATTCCTTAACTGTGCAGTTTGATGGATAATTTAAAATAAATCAGACTATTAAGTGATACTATGAAATGGAAAAATTAATTACCCTTATCTGCAAAGTTTTGTCATGTGGTAGAAAAGGAGAAGCTAATTTGGACTAATTTTATCTTTTGCCTGTAATTTTACACCAGGATCTCGTGTAGTTTGGTTTTGCCAGAGATACAGTTATTTGACATTATGATTGGTTACTGGTAATCCTAACATATTGCACTATTCCAAAAAGAAAAATATACAAATAAGGATACCTGAAATAACCTAAAAAATAATTTTAGACAGTTGTATAGTAAATGATGGTATGTCTGTTAAGATAGCTTCCTTTGCTAAGTCCTTGTTCTTACTCATACATTCTGAGAGGGGTTTATTTTTAATTGGTACTGATTAATGCTGGGGTATACCATGAGCATCACAGGATTGCTGAAATAATTGTGCCTACAGCAACTGAATAGAACAAAAAAAAAGCAAATTATTTTTAAATAGTATTGAAATGTGGATTTCAGTTTGATTTAAAGTATGGATTCTTCACATCTGCATTCATCATGCGGGAACGTAGACAGGTCCCTAATTCTTCCTGGACAGAAAATGTGAATGAAAACTTTTTTGAACAAGTTGATCAGAATAAATTCAAAGGCCAGAGAGTAGTCTTGTGAGAAGTCTGAAGGAATTAATATTTGAAACTGTGTAACCATTATCTATGTCTTAAACATATTGCTTAAAACTCCCTTTACCTGAATAACAAGTGACAGGTTTTGGTTTATTGGGCTTTAAAGGGGAAAAAAAAATCTGTAAATAGTGCTGCAAACATGCAATACAAAAATGGTGCATGAATTTGGCTATTTTAGACGTAATTCACTTTCATGTTCTTCAGAGGAATTGGTGAATATGGGGACAAGGTGATTCAAGTAGTCCAGTTGGATTTACAAAAGACTTTCAAAAAGGTCTCTTACCAAGTTACAGAGAGAAGCAGTGGCTTCTCTACTTAAAGATAGAAATATATTCTCTTTGAGAAGTAAATCTGTAGGGTGAAGTTAGCTCTTCAGTCTACAGGAGAGAGAACTGAAGATGACTATGGTAGTGCACAAGTGGTGCAAAGAATAGTGTATAATTATTCACTGTTTTTCATATAGAGCCAGATGAGCAAACTTGTGCAAACAGCAGATTTTGAAATTCATTGGCAACTTTTTAACTACCAAAACGAACATTGTGGTAATTCAAATTCAACACAAGCAATGCATACAATGAAAGTTTGCATTAAACATAAAATATCCTGTTTAGAAAAATCCCTGAGCTAGAGGTTACTGGCAGCT